TAGTGCCTACAGTTCGATAAGATAGCATTTTACCACCCAGCTCTATCAGCCTACAAACCTGTTTGTCAGGCTTGTGTATGTTCTGATTGTCCTGAATTGGCCCAGCAACACAGCCATCATTCATGACAGAAGGAGAAGTGTGAGACACAAATATTAAGGTAACTTTTAAAACAAGTTATCTTTATTTCTCTTCTGCTGAGAGGCAGTGATCCCCCCACCCCCATGAAGATATCCTGCTCAAATTTGCTAAGCAAGCATTGTGCAACAGGTTAAGACATTGGCTTGGGGACCATAAAGGTGACTGTAGTGGAGAAATAATCCTCAGTACAGGTAGTTTTCAATTTACGACCAAAATTAAGTCCAAAATTTCTGTTGCTAACTGAGACATTTGTTAAGTTACCTCATTTTATGACTTTTCTTGCCACAGTTAAGTGAATCACTGCAGTTATTAAGTTAGTTACGTGGCTGTTGATTAAATAGTTTTTTCCCATTGATTGACTTTGCTTGTCAGAATGTTGCAAAAGGCGATCACATGACCCTGGGACACTGCAACCGTCATAAATATGAGTCAGTTGCCAAGCATCTGAACTTTGATCATGTGAGATTAGGAACAGGTTCAGTGTCTTTCCTCCCACTGACCCAGAGGTGAGACAAAACCAAGGAAAAGTCAAGGATGAAAGGAACCTCTGATTTCTATTTTCTCTTCCTCAGGCTATCTATCCGTCAATCTATCTGCATTGAAAGATGGGTTCCCATTCATGTCCTCTTGCCCAATATCCCTCACACAACAAATGAAAGTTTACTACTGACAATGCTTCTTTATTTTTTTGGTTTGAATTTATAAAATAAATTTAAAACCTGGATTTAAATGAAAAGGGAGAATATGTCTCCTTTCCCCACACCTTTGCAATTTTCTCTTGCCAAAATTATTTTGTTTTGGAAAATAAATATTATGAAAATAGAATATAATGTTTTAATATTCTTATCCACAAATATTTTAAAATAGGATGTTATAAAACCTGAAGTGAAATCTTGAAATCTCCTTGCTTTGTCTCTTCAGCTGATCCGGGAAAGGCACCTTGAGTCAGGAGTGAGGTTTTCTGCTACTTGCGTTACTTTAAGAACTAAGAACTAATTTCAGTTACTTGGATACCTCAGTAACAGTTCTAGATCCCAGACATACTTATTCAATCAACCAATAGTTAGAATCCTAAATAATATGTGCTAATCTCCCTAAATATTTCTGGAATAGTAAAGTTTCTATAGCAAAGGAAAGCAAAAGCAACAAACCAAAAACAAACCATTGCTTGCTAAAGTGTGTGAG